GAGCAGAAGTCTGGGCTCCTCCGTGGTTAGCCCATTACACCTAGATCTCCTCCATTTTGTTTTCCAGTTTGTTAATGGCCGTTTCAACACTAACACGCCACTCTGGAGTTGGGTTCGGGTCCATGATTGCAAGATTATTCTGTCATGTGCTTAACTGGCGGACCCGTAAGAAACACCAAACACAGAATGACACTTTTTAAGAGTTTTATTAAAAAGGGGAAAAGCTGATGATGGGAGGAGGCAGAAACTAGGTCAGGAGACAGGCGGTCATGACCAGGAGATCCGAGGCGAGGAATGTCCGATAGGGAATGTCATGAGCCGGGGTGAGTGCTCCTCTCGTTTCTTACCCTCTTTGAGTTTTGTTTTTCAGGTGAGGGAGCCACAGCTGTTACCCATTCAGCTAATCAGTGGGCCGGCTTATAAGGATGGTGGACATGACTCGACGCCGGAAGATTACTACTGACTGGTAGTCCCTAGCCTTCGCTTTACTAGATCTCTAGTTCTAGAACTCTTGTGTTTTTCTTGTGACCTCGACTAACTTGGATATTTTGGATTACTCACCTCAGGTTGGATTCTCCTCAGGATTCACCCCAATGCTGTTTGGACCTATACCCGGCTCGCTTCCTGGTTCACCATCCACCGCTTAACCGACCCGCTCCCCTCCACACCTCGCTCCCTCTCCAAGACCCACACCGGCTCGGATCCATTCTCCCTCCCCATCTCAACCGCTCTTCATTCATTCCCTGGACTATTACCTCGGCTCACCCCTCCCTCGCACTTCTCCTCTTCCCAAACCGTAAGTCCTTCCGTCAGTGCTTCCCCCTATCATACTACAACTCCCATACTCACCTCTGCTACTCTCTGGGTTGGACTCTTGCCTCAAACCATGACAGGGAAGATCCAATAACAAGATCGAGAACGGAACAGGGTCAGAGCCAGAGGATCAGAGGGGCAGAGGTGCAGACAGGGAAATCCAAAAACAAGGTCGAGAGCGGAGCAGTATCGTTACCAGAGGAGCAGAGATGCAGACTGCCAATCAGGAGGATCCAAGGACGAGGTCGGGAATGAAGCAGAATATAACCAGAAGGGCACAGCGAGGAGGAAGGTCAGGAGACAAGGCAGGATTCGGGATCCGTGATGACAAGGTGGGTAACGAGGCTGGAGAATTTACTTGCAGGAGCGTTCAAAAATCTGGCAGGGAACTGGTGGCTGGCTGGTGAATATTTAGTAGAGGAAGCAGGTGTGTGTAATGATCTGATGACAGGAACAGGTGAGATGAATGGAGTTGATGAGGTGCAGGCTGAGGTTGCTGTGGCAACAGGTCATGGCAGAAACAGGATCGTGACACAAATAATTGCTTTGTTGTTTGTTTGAAAGTTGTAGATAAAGTTTTCTGAAAAAAGTTTCACAGCGACCAGCATCCCGGCATGCGTTGTGATCGATGACACAATGCTCCCCGTCTCAATTCTACAATTATTTACTACGCACTCGAATCCTAGTGCACACCTTCCTCAAGTGCACTTTGCTGAAGACCGCAGGGCCCAGTGTGAGTGTTGGTATTCGGCCTAAAACAGCGATTTACACGAAAAGTGACACGTTTGCAGGCATGGAGGCTGCCAGCATCATCATGGCTCTGATGATGGCAGCAGGAACTACCAGAAACGTTAGCTACTAAGGTAAAAGAATCTTCTCTGTGTTTAAAAAGGTCACAGAATGAACGTCCAGAAGATGTTTAAAGAGGATTACGGACAAGAAACAAGGGGCGAGCATGTCTAAGGAACCGCCTCTGCTTCTGCTTAAGATGTCGAGATGAAGACATCACGCCAACAAGCATACACCTAAAGACACCGACATGAACAAGATGGCACAGCAAATAATGGAAAGAACATAGAAAGTACTACTCAAGTAAAGGATAAGGAACATCAGAACCAAACAGAAACAAATAAAACACAAGCTGGAAAGAAGACACCTGGACTTCAAAAGAAACAATCAGATTACAAATTAGATGAGAAAGCAGAAGAACTAGTTAAAGAACATATGATAGAAGAACAAGAAAATATTCATACAAGTAAAAGAAAAAGACATAAAGAAGTTAACCAAACTCTTCTACAAGAAAAGACAAAAGAAAAACTGGACAATGCCACATAAAGCTCACAATACACACCAACAGAAGCAGAAAAAAGTTTATTAATAATAATAATGCATTGAACTTATATAGCGCTTTTCTAGACACCCAAAGACGCTATTAAAAGGTTTAAAGTTTGCAATAACACTGAAAAACAAACCGTATGATGAATTTGTTGTAGCAACAGAAATGGTGTGTGAACAGATCTCAGATGAGGGAAAGAAACTTAGAATGAATGCAGTTGGGATGTTAAAGAACAGAGAAATATGACACAGTAATGTTACAAAAGATAAAGAACAGACATGACAGCACTAGTCTAAACAAACATCTTTATTCTACCAGCAGACAAAGATGAGGTAATGGACAGGTGGAAAAGATGCTAGAGGACAGAAACACACACAAAGCATAAAAAAGACAACAGAAGACATTAGGAAAAGCATGAGAACATGACTGAAACCACTACACCAAAAAGGCTAAATAACAGAAATAATGTAGAAACACTGAATTCCTGCAGCAGACATATCACCAAGAACCTAGGGAACTACAAAGACACACAAATATAACACTGCTTAGACCAAAAGTAGACAGCACAGGTACACCAACATACAGTATGGCAAAAGAAATCAGCAGATTCATCAGCCCACTGTTGGGTCACACACACCAACCCAATAAACCATGGACATGGTAGTAAACAGAGTCAGAACAAACTCTACACAAGAGAACAAACCTCACAACAGATGACACCGGTAGCTAACTCCACATACCGTATTTTCCGGACTATAAGTCGCTACTTTTTTCCCATGCTTTGAACCATGCGGCTTATATTGAGGTGCGGCTTTACTGAAGATTTTCCTTCACCTGCCAGAGGGCGCTTTAGCAGAAAGTGAAACAGGTGGAAGTCAAAAGTGGAAATCAAAGAAAGCGCTCATTTTAATTTAACACATGCAAGCAGCTGGCACAACGAAGAATTAGTTTGAAGTTTGAATTTGTTAAGTTGAAGGCCATCGATCTGGCAGTAAAGGAGGGAAACAGTGCTGCCACACGTAAGCTTGGCATGAATGAATCCATGGTTCGACGCTGGAGACCTCAGCGGGAAGAACTCATTCAAGCCAGCTTCCCCCCGGGATGATGACAACAACACGGACAGCGACACTGGCATCGCCACAGAAAAGGTATGTGACGAAGCTCTTCTGAGGCTGTTCAACTCCGACACTGAAGAAGAGGACTTTAATGGCTTTAGTGCGCAAGAGGAAGATGAATAAACGAATCAATAATTTTTGTTTTGTTTGATCAGTTCAGTTACGTTCAGTTAAACTACGTTTTCAATTCAGTAGATATCTGCGGCTTTTAGCCCGGTGCGGCTTATATAAGTACAGTTCCATGTGTTTCTAAAAACTTAGTAGGTGTGGCTTATATTGAGGTGCGCTCTATTGTCTGAAAATTACGGGACTCCACATACAATGGAACAGTACACAAACAGCTGAAGGCTTCACCATGGGTGACCTGTTATCAGCCACCCTTTGAGAGTTCTTCATGGAGGACTTAGAACAAAATGCCATAGCCATTGACACCAACCCCCCCCCCCCCCAGCAGGAGAGAGCTGCAGATCCAAAGTGGAGGCGGAAAGGTGTCCAGCGAAAGCGCGCAGGTTTGCGTGGTTGACCCCGCGGCAACGCGCTGGAGCTGCCTCCTTTGTACAGACGAACCAAGCCACAGACTGAGAATCAGCAAGGGGAGAATGGAGCAGGGCAGCCGGCAAGGTCTGGATAGACCCCTGGGAAATCGCCATGGCAACTCGAGCCCGGACACAGCTGCCCCCGCGCTTACCGCGGCGTCTTTTCCGAAGCCAGGATGGGCGTGGCAGCCTCCAAAGGTAAGCAGGAATACCTGATAGCAGTGGATGGAACAGTTTCTGATGTTCAGTGGCTTTGGTTACTGCATAATCCACAGGTACACGAAGCTTTAAAAGGGTGAGTCTGTCATACACCAGGATGGAGCTGATACCATTTACTAGAATACTAGAAAACAGGAAAAACAGCAGAAGTAGAGAGAGCAGAAGGCAGGCCAAGCACCTTGGTGCCATCTTGACTCTGTCAAGGTTTGTGCATATTATTTAAAACATGTCATTAAAGTTGTGCTGGGAAGAAAATGAATAACAAAATAAAGTTATGTAGCAGGTTTCATGGGAATAATCCATATAAACTGGGATGATGATCATCAAAATGAAACAAATGAATAACAGAGGAGCAAATAATCTCTGGATTACTGAAAGTGAAAAGAGTAAAGTAGAAGTAGTTAGTCCAGGAAATAAATCCAATAAAACAAATAAGTTACTTATTTAATTTTGTAAATGTAATTTATTAATTTGGTCGTTTGATTGTTAAGTATTTTCGGACACTCCCACCAAAGGAAAAAGAACAGCTGTCACTGAAATGTGTTTATGTTGAAAACAGTAAATCTAAAATCATGACACTGCTTCCACCGTCTTTTTTCTGATTGGTTATTTTTGAACTGCCTAGTCCCGCCCCTCATGTGCCTCTCTGCCTGTAAGTTACCAGACTTTCTCTGTGCAGAATTAAAACAGAGAATGAGTCTGGCAGGCCAGGCTACAAACTCTTACTGTGAAGCCTTGCTTCACAGCAACTCTTTAACTGTGAAGCCTTTGACCGCTGTTGCTGTTGGACACTGCAGCTGTAGTTTGTGCTGTCACCTCCAACAGCAGAATCCCACCTGAACGGGTCCGCTGATTAAAACACGGTTAGAATCAAGAACACAACAAATAAAATTAAATTACAACTGGAGCAACAAAACACACACACACACACACACACACACACACACACACACACGCACACACACGCCTATGCTTTCTTACCTCAGCAAGGGCTGTTTAGGAGGTGAGGGTGGGCCACCATCTTGACTCTGCAGAGGCTTTTTGGTGACCTGGTTATAAATGTTCCTGGCCGCCACCCCAAGCCACAACAACGTGGACAAAGACGAGTAGTGCAGCACGAACCCGACCTGATGAGGATAAATGAAATTATTCCTTTGACATTCCTGAACTTGCACTTCTCCCTGTTGGGTGGTTCTTGGGAAAACCGTAAGACGAGACCTCATGCGTTCACCTGACAGAGGGATGTTTAATCCTAGCTGCCACCCCTCTCTAGAAAACATCATCAATGTCACACCAAGGGCATCTATGTGCATTATCCATCAGGAGAACACAACCGCACAGAAAAAGGCAAGCAGGTTTCCTACTGAAGCATCAAGGTTGTGTGGGATGAGAGACTTTACTGGAGCATACGGAGCTCTTCCTTATCAGCTCAGTTTAATGACATGAGGTGTGCACACTGAATCACAAGGGTGCATATGAATGAGCATCACGTCGACAAGCATCAGTCAACGATTGTTCTTTTCCAAACTGTGCACTCAGATGCTCACAAAGTGCACACCTCTCCTTTTCCTGCTCATTTGAATATTGATGGGATATGTTTGGCTGCTTGAACCGATCTAACTTTGTCTAAAGGCTTTGCAGCTTATAGAAGAGAGACTGGAGCGAAGAAATTAAAATGCTTTGAGCCTTCACCCTATTAGTCTGTTCATGATGAACTGCCAATCAGAAGGCTCCTCTCTCGCCAGGGACTCGGGCTAGCATGCAGCCCACCAGATGCTAAATGGAAGTGGCTGTGAGCTGTTTATAGAGAACAAAGTGCAGGTGGTGAGTCAATCACTGCTTTGGACTTCACAACTTCATTAGAACCAAAACGAAACTCAAGGAACTGTTTTATTAATTATGAGAACAAGAGAAGAACTTAAAACACAAAACCACCTTTTCTGATCCTTTTCTTCAGTGTTTGTTCAGTTGCATCCATCCATCCATCCATCCATCCATCCATCCATCCATCCATCCATCCATCCATCCATCCATTCATTCATTCATTCATTCATTCATTCATTCATTTTCGGCCGCTTATCCAGGGTCAGGTAGTGGGGGCAGTAGCCTAAGCAGGGAGGCCCAGACTTCCCTCTCCTCAGCTACTTGGACCAGTTCCTCCGGGGGAATCCCAAGGTGTTCCCCTGACCAGCTGTGAGACATAGTCCCTCCAGTGTGTCCTGGGTCTACCTTTAGGTCTCCTCCCGGTTGGACGTGCCCGGGAAACCTCACCAGGAAGGTGTCCAGGAGGCATCCTGACCAGATGCCCGAGCCACCTCAACTGGCTCCTCTCGATGTGAAGGAGCAGCGGGTCTACTCCGAGCTCCTCCTGGATGACCGAGCTTCACACCCTATCTCTAAGGGAGAGCCCAACTACCCTGCGGAGAAAACTCATTTCGGCCGCTTGCATCTGCAATCTCGTTTTTTCAGTCACTACCCAAAGCTCGTGACCATAGGTGAGGGTAGGAACGTAGATCCACCAGTAAATAGAGAGTTTTGCCTTCTGACTCAGCTCTCTCTTCACCACGACAGACCGGTACAACGCCTGCATCACTGCAGATGCAGCACCAATCCACCTATCGATCTCATGATCCAGCTTTCCCTCACTCGTGGACAAGACCCCAAGATACTTAAACTCCTCCACTTGGGGCAGGACCTCATCCCTGACCCGGAGAAGGCATTCCACCCTTTTCCAATTTAAGACCATGGTCTTGAATTTAAAGGAGCTGATTCTCATCCCAGCTGCTTCACACTCGGCTGCGAACCGCTCCGGTGAGAGCCGGAGATCAAGTTCTGATGAAGCCAACAGGACCACATCATCTGCAAAAAGTAGAGACCTGATCCTCAGGCCTCCAACACAGATACTCTCAACACCTTGGCTGCTGTTAGAAATTCTGTCCATAAAGGTTGTGAACAGAATCGGTGACAAAGGGGAGCCTTGGCAGAGTTCAACTCTCACAAGAAACAAGCTTGACTTACTGCAGACAATGTGGACCAAGCTCTGACACTGGTCATACAGGGACCTAACAGCCCGTATCAGAGGGCTTGGTGCCCCATACTCCTGAAGTACTCCACAGAGGGCCTCCCAGGGATAAGGTTGAACGCCTTCTCCAAATCCACAAAACACACGTAGACTGGTTGGGCAAACTCCCATGCACCCTCCAGGACCCTCTAAGGGTATAGACCTGGTCCAGTGTTCCCCGACCAGGTTGAAAATCTCATTGCTCACATTGCACATTGCAGTTTTATCAGTCAATCACATTCTATCTCTATAGGCCTTCCACTACCTTTACGGAAGCCCAAGGTGCTGAACATGGCATAAAAGTAACAAAGAGCAGAGATCAATAAAACACATAAAAGCAGCAAATAGAAATAACTAAGTCTAACAGACTACTTGATAAAACAGAGACAATAAAAGCTATATTAAACCATGAAGACCAAATGATTAAAATGAGTCTTCAAACAACTCTTGAAGATCTGCAGTGATGTGGACTGTTTGATAACAAGTAGGAGCATGTTCCAGAGTGTAGGAGCCAGAACACAAAAAGTCAGATCACCTCTAGTCTTGCACATTGATTGCGGGATTATTAGTATTTCTTGATCAGCCACGCATAGGGAGTCTGAAGGTGCATGTATTTGTAGTAACCCATCTAGATATGATGGGTCACTACCATGATGGGACAAGTAGACAAACAACAAGACTAAACTTTGCCTGGTAAGCAACAGGAAGAGTTATGAGCCCAGGACTGGCGTAATGTGAGCGGTTTTCTTCCAGTCTGTGGGGAATCTAGCTGCCACATTTTAAACTAACCATTTCAGTGCTGTCTGACTCAGCCCAGCATGACGTGCATTACAGTAATCAAGCAGCAATAAAACAAATGCATGCAGAACCAACTGGAGATGTGCTCTTGACAACATTGGCTTGATCGTGGCAAGACGGCACAAGTGAAGAAATAGGTTCTTCCGACCATGTTGATGTGGCTGTTGTAACGTACCAAAAGGGTCCATTTTCACCTATATATTGACCAACACAATAACCGTTCATCTACAGAAATAAATCAACTTTCTATTTGGCCTTCCAAAGCTAGAAGGTTCTGTTCAGCACGTGTTTACATACAGAAGACAAAACATCCAGACACACATTCTCTATAGCCATAGAGATAAGGAGACGTAGATGCGGGACCATGAACAGAGATGATGGGGTCTACACATTGGATCGTGCATGGGACTGCATCATCGGAGAGGGGAGAGAGGACAGCAGAGGGCGACAACGTCCTCTGCTGCCCACGGATAAACGGAGTAGGAAGTGACGCCACCATCAGCGTCAGCTCTGAGGAAGTTTGCAGTCGCAAACAAAACTGTCAGCAAGCAAGGTAAAGAGAAACCTTTTCTGTGTTTTAAAAAAGAACCAAAAATGGAATTTAAAAGACCTGTCGCCCATGGTTTTAAGCCATGTCCTGGGCGGAACCAGGGGGTGCCGTTGGCCTGATGTGGCCCGGGTAGAGGTATGTGGGGGCCGCACCGTGCAGACAGTGATGGGTGTGCAGAAGGATCTTGTATTCTGCACAGAGGTGGACAGGGAGCCAGTGACGGGATTGGAAGATGGGGTAATGTGCTCATGATTTTGCACCCCCATTAGGACCCTGGCAGCACCATTCTGGACATACTGGCGCTTTTGGGGGCTCCTGCCAGGGATCCCTAACAGAAGTGCATTACAATAGTCCAGCCAGGAGGAGACAAATGCATGGATGAGCTTCTCTGCCGCTGAAAGGGAAAGAGAGGGGTGCAGTTTGGATTACCGAAATGGAAAAAAGAGGTTTTGCAAATTGAGGTGACATGTTTGTCAAAGGAAAGGTAGGGGTAAAACTGGACCCAAAGGTTAGTAACAGAGGGAGGGATGGGAATAGTATTTCCAAAAAACGAAACAGATGTAAAGTGAGAGGAGTGAAGTTGGTGGGGCGATCCGATTTGAATGGCTTCTGTTTCAGAGCCATTCAGAAGCAGACGATTGTGATTCATCCATGCCTCAATCTCCTCCAGGCAGGAGGTGAGGCAGGAAATGGTGGCAGAGGGGGGTCCAGAGGGAGTGATTTGAAGATAGAGTTGTGTGTCGTCAGCATAGTAATGGCAGACTGTGAAGAGGGAGGGTTGGGCTGAGAACGGAGCCCTGTGGGACCCCACAAGTAACAATGTGGGTTTTAACTGGGGCATGACTGTCCAGGATGTTGCTGGGGCTGGCGCTGTAAAAATTCACAAGTTCATCCATTGACAAACCTGGAGAAGGGGAGCGAAGATGTAAATCCCAATTAAAAGAGGTGGAATCAATGTTCTTGATGTTTCAGTTCATCTGACATTTTGGTTTGTGAAAAGAAGATGACAGTGGGATTTTGAATAATGTTGCTAAGTGGTCAGAGATGCCAACATGATACACCTCAAGGCCAGTAACTGGAAGAGAGTCAGTGATCAATAAATCCAGTGTATGGCCTTTAGTATGTGTTGGAGCATCCTCAAGCTGGTGAAGATGAATGTGCATTTGAAGTCAGACGCTAGTCGGCAGATCTGAGAGTCCATGTGTACATTAAAGTCACCAATAACTAAAATGTTGGAGTACTGTACAGAGGGAAAAAAGAAAACAGTGTATGTCAGAGATGAATGTGGAATGTGGTTTGGGCGGGTCAGGGTTAGGATGTTGTAAAGGATGTTTACAATTAAAAACAAGACTTTCAAATGTTAGGAAAGTGCTAGCAATGGCCATGGGGAATAACACCAGATTGCTGCTATGTAATACAGCAAATCCCCCACTCCGTACAAGGCTTAGATAGGTAACAGTACCCAGGGGGACAGGCCTCATTAAGAGAGTGTCATGATCCCTGGTTTTATGCATTTAGAAAAGTCTCTGTACTTATGTTTGTTTGTTTGTTTTGGTCTGAGTGAACAGCCCAGCTCTCCATATTCTTCAGCCTGCAGCCCAGGAGATGCAATTGACTTTGTTCCTGGTTCCTCCACCATCACCTGGGACCAGTTGGGAATCATCCAGCAATCAGTCAGTTGGGAGCTGCAGAGTGGCTTATAAGAGACTTCCTGCTCC